CTCCCGGGAGGAGGGGACTCGGCGGCTTCGGGGGGGAGGGGGGGGGCCGAGTGGGGAAGCCGGGAGCCGGATGGCCCCCCCGCGCTTTTTGGGTGGTCTCCGGTCGTACCTGGCCTCCCCCAGCTCTCCCACCTCCTCGGCACATCCCGAGGCTAGCCTGCCCCGCAGCCCTCTCTGCCCGTCTTTTGCTTCATTGATGTATTTGCTTTTCCAGCGGGGGTGTGCGTGCGTGTGCTGCCGCTGCCTGCCTGCCTGCTCGCGTTCTCCCTCTCCCTTTCCTCCCTTCCTTCTCCGCCCGTGCGTGTTTCAGTTCCCCCCCTCGCCCCTCTCCCGGCTCCCCTCCCGCGGCCGCTCCTCCGCGGCCACTTGCGGGTCCGGCCGCCGCCCCCTCCGCCCCCGGCCCCCGGGCTCCATTCGGCAGCGTGCGCCGGGCGGCCGGTGCACCCCCTCCCGCCGCGCCCCCTCCCCTCTCCCCCCTGCGATCACTGTCCATTGGCTTGTCCTGCTCTCTTTTTCATGTCCAGCCCCTGATGAGTGTCCATTGGTGTTGCCTTCGCCTTCCCTCCTCCCCTCTCCCCGGCTTGCCCTGCCCATGTTTTGTATGTCTCTGTCCATCCAGGCTCCTGACGTTCAAGTTCGCAGGGACGTCACGTCCGCACTTGAACTTGCAGCTCAGGGGGGCTTTTGCCATTTTTTTCATCTCTCTCTCTCCTTCTCTCTCTCCCTCTCTCTCCCTCTCCCTCTCTCTCTCTCTTTTTTTTTCCCCTTGCACAAAAAAAAAAAAAAAGCCATGACTGCTATCCCACAATTCATCTTCCCTGCGCCATCTTTGTATTATTTCTAATTTATTTTGGATGTCAAAAGACATTGATGAAGATATTTTCTCTGGAGTCTCCTTCCTCTCTAACCCGTCTCTCCCGATGTGAACCGAGCGACTCACAAGCCACCGAAGCCACCAACCCACCATGTCGCGCCGCAAGCAAGGCAAACCCCAGCACTTAAGCAAACGGGAATTTTCACGTAAGTAACCCGGAGAGCAATTTATTTAATTTCCCCTTCACGGATTTAATTTTTAATTTGAGCAAGAGCGGGGGGGGGGAGAAAAAATAAAAGTGAGAGCGAGTGAGCGGGTCGGGGAGAAAATGAACTGAACGCCGGCTCGGGATTATCAGCATTCCGGTTAATTTCTCCCTCTCTAATTTAATCACCTTGATCACTTTTCTCCTCTTTCTCTCTTTGCCCCTCGCCCGCCAGCGCGCACTCCCTCTGCCCCCGCTCCGCTCCCTTCTCCCCACTCCTCTCGCCTCCCGCTTTGCCCGCTCTTTGGCGGCAAGAGCGGCGCCTCTCGCCCCGGCACCGGGAGAGGCGGCGAGCCGCCCCGTGCGGGCTAGGTGCGGGGCTGCCGGCGGCAGAACCGCCCGAAAGTGTAAAGAAATTCCGGCGGGAGCGGCGGGCTGGACGCCGGACACCTTGGCCGGCCGGGCGGGAGCTGCGGGCGAGCGGAGCGGGGAGAAAGTCCGGCGGCCGGAGCCCCT